CATTAATAAATAATCATTAATAAATAATCATTAATAAATAATCATTAATAAATAATCATTAATAAATAATCATTAATAAATAATCATTAATTAGATATCTAAAGTAAATTAAATTGAAAAATAGAGATAACATACTTTCTGAATATATTTTTCACCAAGCTCTTTTCTTTGACGAAGGCGTTCTTCAATAATTGGTTTACAACGTTTAACAAAAGTATCTCTATGTCGACTAATTGGATTCCAACCAAATCTTAATGGAAACCTAGCAAAAAATAAACCGATTTTTTTTTTAATAACAATAGATTTATAAACGAAAGCAATAGTTTATCAATTGGCCGATCATAGTACGTGATAATTTTTGCATGGAGATAAGAACTAATGAATGATACAATTGGAGGAACAAATCTTATATTTGATATTTCACGTTCCACTAATGCAAATGAGGTTATAATATCTTCATATTGAGCAGCTTCCTTTATAATTAAAATTATTATTAAAATTTTATTATTATTATTATTAATGAAAATTATAAAATAATATATAAAAACATACTTCACAAATAATAACATTAGCAACAGGCTTGGCAACTGTTAATGCAAATATATCTCGAATATTTCTGAAAACCTTTGGTTCTGAGAATTGTTTATTTATTTATTTTAGATAACGACTAATAATAAATCAACTAATAATAAAAATATAATAAAATTTAATAAAGGTTTAATAAATACCTTTACAATCGCCAAAATATTTATCAATTGCAGATAAAAGTTCTTTTTGCATTCTCGATGTGTAAATATTAACTTTGGCACTGACTTGTTCATGAACCACTCGGGCCATAAATGCCGTTGAGTCAAATTTCCTGAATTGGTCAAAAACATCATTAATTGGAAACACCTGTAATGATAAAGATAAATAAAAGATATATAATATAAGAATGTATTTTTTAAATGTGAATTATGATTATAAATATGTGACTAAAATTATCGCTTCAATCTACTAAAGTTACAACAAATTAGGGTTACCAACTTAATACATATAAAAAGGTCTAATTTCTTAATTTCAGTAGGTGTAACTTCAGTAAACTAAAGTGCATAACGATCACGACATATTATTCTTTACAAAATGGATGAACATTATATACAGTAAACAGTATATGTAAGTACGACCACGTACGTACCTTATTTATTGCTAAATGAAAATCAAAAATGTCGGAGTGTCTGAAAACTTCATGAGAGGTCTCAACTCCTGTAAAAGTTCTTACGTTTCCAAGGATGAATAGGCTAAAAGGTTCCCCATACTTTATGAAAAAAAACAACCAATGATTAAGTACCGAATTAAAGGAGCATAGAATAAGTAATTATATTTTTACCTTTTCTTTACACTTTTGTAGAAAGTTTACAGGGTCACGGTAATAATCATATGTATGTCCAATAATTGGATAACTATATGGTACTAATGGTGGTTCATTCTGCCAAAAGATGAAATCTATTACAAAAAAATCATAATAATGCCGATGATTATTAGATAAAATGAAATTAAGTTTACCACTCCAATTCGAGGTCGCTTAATCAAATGAAATATAAATGTAATAATAAATAATAAGCAAAAAACTTCAATGTAAGTCATTTTTTATTTTTTGATAAAGCTATAAGCGCGATCACGCATATATATACATGATGTGTATATTTAAATTTCGGAAAAACAGTTTTACCACGGTTTATCACAGTCCGGATTTTCTATCCCAATAGGAACAGCACTACGTAATTCGGATGTTGTGCAGGCTACTGCTACCTTTTTCGATCAAACGACATTTATTTTTTGATACAATAATATCAGATAAGGAAAGTGAAAGTTGGTTGGTATGAAAAATTTTTAAAAAAAACATTTGCATATGTTGCAGAATATTAATTTCTGACTTACTCGACTGCAGTTTCCAAAATTTGGTAATTTTTGTAAATTATCAAACAAAGAAATCACTTGATCATTAGACATACCGATAATTTACGATTTTTACACATTCCGCCAAGTCCTATATAATATTAAAGCCTAATATATGTTCTAAAAAAGTTCCCACTGATGGGGACGTTTAAAATGGCTGTATGTCATTAAGTACTAACGTGATTTTATCTACACACAAATTCGAATAAATTAACTGGAAATAATTTAAATCCGGACCGATGGTTATTATAAAAAATCATTGATCTTGTATTTATATAATAAGTAGCTGCGCGACGTTGTCACGCAAAACCAGGAACGGAAGATGGATTTTCAGATCGAGTTGCAGAC